GATGCTGAATTGATGAGGAAAAGCAAAAAGGTTGAAGAAAAATGGGTCACAGTAAAGCTGGAGAGACACAATGCCGTATTGCTGAGCTAAAAGGCTACAAAATGGCAAAAAAAACGTGGTACAAAGTGGAATAAAGTTGCATTCATTTGGGCATTTTGGACTAAGGGCCTTAAGAGGCTTTATTCAGGAATGAAAGCATGGAAAGAAGAAAGAAAGGAAGAAAGAAAGAGAAGAAGAAAGTTAGAAATGAAGGAAGAAAAGAAGAAAGAATGAAAGAAAGAAAGAAAAAAGATAAGAAGACTGGAAGAAATAAATAATGAAAGAATGAGATAATGAAAGAAAGAAAATAAGAAAGAATGGAAGAAAGGAAGGAATAAATGAAGAAAGAAAGAAGGGACGTAAGAAAGAGAAAAATAAAGTTAGAAAGGAAGAAATTAAGGAAAGAAGAACGAAAGGAAGAAAGAACAAAAGGAATAAAGAAAGATAGAGAGAAAGGAAGAAATATAAAAAGGAAGGAAGAAATAAAGAAAGAAAGAAAGAAAAGAAGAACATAATAGAAAGGAAGGAAAAAATAAAAGAAGCAAGAAAGGAAGGAAAGAAGGAATGCAAAATAAATAAGGAAATGACGAATAAACTAACGAAAAAAAGAACAAAAAAAGAAGGATAGGAATGAACGAAGAAAAAAAAGGATGGAGGAAAGAAAGTGCTAATGGTTTTGACCGCAATGCGAATGGTAGCGGTACAGAAGAGCACAAGAAAAGAGGAATTGGAGCGGGCAAATGAAATGAGATTGGCTCGAAGACGAAGAAAGCATAAAATGCAAGAACAAAGCACAGGTGATGCTGATAGTGATGATGAATATAGCGACGATACTACTCACTATAGCAGTTATGGTGTTGTTGTTGTTGGTGGTGGTGGTGGTGGTGGAGACGATGCTGGTAAAACAGAAAGAAAGGAAAGGAGGAATCCTGCAAAGTGGGTAGACTGGCGGAAGGAGAATAAGAATATGTTGAGGATGGTACTGGTGCCGCCGGATTTCTTCAGTCACAAGATCTATCAAAATACGTAAGAGTGATCGGTTGCTGTGTAGACGAGTCCCGTTATTATTCCTACTTTGACCGTTTCGATGCCTCAATAGAACGTAAATACA